CTTCCTTCCCTTCCTTTCCTTCTTCCTTTCCTTCTTCCTTCCCTTCCTTCCCTTCTTCCTTCCCTTCCTTCCCTTCCTTCCCTTCCTTCCCTTCCCTTCCTTCCTTTTCCTTCCTTCCTTTTCCTTCCTTCCTTTTCCTTCCTTCCTTTTCCTTCCTTCCTTTTCCTTCCTTCCTTTTCCCTCCTTCCTTTTCTTTCCTTCCTTTTCCTTCCTTCCTTTTCCTTCCTTCCTTTTCCTTCCTTCCTTTTCCTTCCTTCCTTTTCCTTCCTTCCTTTTCCTTCCTTCCTTTTCCTTCCTTCCTTTTCCTTCCTTCCTTTTCCTTCCTTCCTTTTCCTTCCTTTTCCTTCCTTTTCCTTCCTTTTCCTTCCTTCCTTTTCCTTCCTTCCTTTTCCTTCCTTCCTTCCTTCCATCCAACACATCTCCGTCGACCACTCAGTCTCGCTCCCCCGCGGCGAGTGCAACTAAACGAGAACCCAAGCATCGAAGATGCTTTTGGGAAAAAACATAAAAAAAACAAAATGCTAAATCAATCTAAAACAGATTTGCGTAGATTCTTAGATATCATCATTTTTGGGAGAAAAAAATATGGTAAATAGGAAAATGGGTAATGGAAGAAACCAAAAAGATCAAAGAGGGACTTTGTTGGTAGGTGGTTTCAACATGCGTAATTCCAATCATTTGCGGCAAACGTTGCCGAATCATGATCCATTCAATTGAAGGCTTTGTAATTTTTTGTGACGATTCAACAATCACCCATCTCCCACGGGAAAGGATGGGACCCATCCTTTGATCCTTTGGAAGAGCTCCTGGCCTCAAGGAGCGTTTCCACCAGACTTAGTGGGAGGTAATCGAGCTTTCCAAAGGCATACCTCACTGCCAGGCGGACATCCAAATACCCCATGAATCCCCATGATCTATGACACGATCCTAGTTTCGCGCTCGACCAGCAACCGAAAACACAGCACATTCGTCTAGTTGTGAGCTGAATGGGGTTGGATCTTGGGGTTCAACATGCTTCAACCATTTTTTGGAAAACAAATGGTATCAATTGAAGTATCAACCATTTTTTGGGAGAAATGGTCCAATTATTTGCTTTTTTTTGGCATCAATTGGGTCCAAATCACAAGATGTTCAGAATCTCCACCAGCATCAGTTCGGCGGCGTTTTCCTCGAAACGTTGTGCCTAAGGGCATCGCCACAAAAATCCCACCGAGGAGACTATGGCACTATGGACAACGAAGAAGCACACAACCTGCCATGGCAAAATTCTGGATGTATTTGTTCAAAAATGCCGCATGATATAATGTAACATGGCGAACCAAATGTGTACAGACTCTTATTGATGATATTGATGAGCAGAATGGAACAAAATATGCATTCCGCTTAAAAGATGTTCCTTTCCTGCTCACATGGGGATTCCATTTTGGTTTCCTTTTCAAAGATTATGAAAGATTGAAAGGTGCACGTGCACAAACCATCACGTAGACGTAGAGCTGCGAACAAGCTGCGCACACACTCAGGAATTCCTGATCACGATGTTCCATCCGCATTAAGGCATAGACCTTCACCACGACACGGCTTCACGGCTCTGTCCATCGTTGGCAACATGTTTTTTAGCTCTTAACATCTTAGCCTAATGGGAAAACAAACCCTCTGCGAATTTAAAGTAGCTATGGAGAAAAACACAAGGTTGAATGCTAATATATTTTATATATGTTTATTTATATATGTATTTTATAGCTAAATCATCGAACTAAATGGACAATTTTCCATAGCTAACTGTTAGTTTGTTGGAGGGTACCTGGTGAACATTTGCAAAGCGGACCAATGATTGGCAACCATCTACCAAAACCGAGGTGCATCGTGGAATTAGGCCGGCACCATTGAGGTTGACACCTACATTACTTAGCGATAACCCAAATGCTAGCGGCTAAACCCCATTTCCAGGGGGAAATAGTTTACAAATCATTAGATCCACTAAAAGAGACCCCACTACACCTCCGAAGCCCAACATGTATCCGCAGAAAACAAACTTGGAACATGCTCTGTGTACATCTGTCTACTACGCTGAGAACCGCGATTTTTGGGTTCCATATGGAACTTCTAGGGGGAAATAAGCCTACTGTAGCCATTCTTCAATTTGGCCGGGTGGCGAGCAAATTCAGCTCCTGCATAGTGAAGGTATCGTGATCGCGTCGGATCACTTCGTCCTGCAAATGGAAATGAGCCATTGGACATTTCAGTTTTAGCGTCCGCGCATTTTCCCAATGTCAGGAATGCATCGGAACATGGGATATGACATTACAATTTTATCACAGAATCAAATATATAACCAATTCCTAACAGACATTGCTGAATATCGAATATGCAAAAATCTGCAAAAATGATGACTCTTGAGCCTGACGAACAGGAGTTGCTCATCAGTTGCCCCCTAGGAGCCCTTCCAACCATCATCATTCCTGCTCCGAGTTCCAGCTTTCGCCTTACGCGGTCCTTCAACGCCTTGATGAAGGGTTCGGCTTCGATGGCGTTGAAATCCAGGGCGGATTTCTTCCTCTTGATGTTTTCCTGGCTCATGACCATCTCCTTAGCCGAAATCATCGGATCCAGTGGTGAGCATCATTTCCCAAAGATTGAGAAAGGGTCACCAGGTGATCCTGGATGATCCTGGCTCGACTTTTTCCCCAAAAGGAAGGGGAAAACACCGGGGAAATGGGGAAATCCCATGGGAAATCCGGTGAAAGATGGGATGCACCATGATCCAGGCCCAGTGGCTTGACGCTCGCGCGCCAGCAAGCTGTACTTGCCGAAGGCAAACCTCGGCGGATTGGAAAACGGGGAGCACCATCAAAAGGATGGGAAAAATGCAACAAATTGTCGCTGACCTGGTTGCCAACACAGGTAAGCAGCCTGGGCTGCTATCCAAAAACTGCAGTTTAAAATATTCAGAAAAGAATCCATGGCCATCCATGGCCATCTATGGCCATCTATGGCCCTTGACCAATTGTCCTTTCAATGGGCCAAACCTATCTGAGGTCGATCCAGCCATCTCACCTACCAAAAGGTGCCTTGGATCCTCCCTTGCCACGGAGCCAAGGCACGCCAAGGTTGACAGGTCGCGGTGGCTCAGCGACTGCATACCTCATGGCCGCCATGGTTGGCCGAAGGAGGTCATGATGCTCACGAAATCCGTCGGACTCCAAGGTACTTCATCTGATTTCATGTGTTGAAATCTTTCTCTACATTGAAGCCGATCGATTTTGATGCATTTTGTGGGTGCCCAAATGCAGCCCAGCATCGATCTTCAACAACCACCTTCATCTTTTCTAAGGTCTCATCCAACTCCTTCAAGAAAAATCGCTCATGGCAGCGTGGTCCCCACTTGAAGGACTTGAAGGAGCATCATCTCACTCACTAGTTGGTTAAGTCCCCCAATCGGCTTGTCCCACTCATCATCCGGTGATAAGTCATAACAACTGATAACCTGTATGCTTCATCCCAGTTGCACAGTTGCACTGACTACTTGTAACTAGATGTTCATTCACATTTTGATGATGTTCAATCTTTATGCCATCCTCAATGCCCCATATGGCCCCATATGGCCCCCATACGGCCCCATATGGCCCCCCGGATGGCCCCCGGATGGCCCCCGGCGCCCCATCCCGGTCCTCCATCTGCCCCACAGCCGAAGATAAGCCCAGCAGCGTCATGACCAGCATCCGGGGGCTCAGGTCTTCCACCAATTCCAGGCTGCGCTGGGCCAGCAGGGCCTTGTGGCCATGGCCATGGAAAAATGTGGAAAAATGTGGAAAACTGTCAGAGCATTCTGATGACTGTCTCCCCAAATGTTCCGCATTTTGGGGATTCATCCCATACTCGGGGTGTTCGATTTTGAAATGCCGACTTGACCAGGGTCACGCTCAATAGTGTGTCAATTCAAGAGGACCAGTGCGCAAAGATATCAAACATTATCAAACTATCAGCTATACAAGATCTACCAACTTTGAACCAGTTGCGCAGCACTTTGGCACCAAGTAGCCAGCACGTTCCTTTCCCAGTACTCCAGCTTACCATAGCAATAGCAGAAGGATGCCACGGTCAGTGGCTCGCAGTCTGACAGGCCCGTTTCAAGAATGTGCTGCCCTGCCACTTCCATAATTCGACGGTCGCGAATCCCCAGTCTCATGCAGGCATAGACGACCAGCAACAGCGATTCGGTGTCGAAATCGCTTCTGCCCTGCAACTCCGTGAGCAAAGCTTTCTGCAAGCTGGGCCGGGGGCGGACCCCACTATAGCCCAAGGAAAACATCAACAAACCAATGGAATGAGGCGAGTAGTGATTCATCCGACTCGTTGCGTCCGCCGCAATGGCCGTGGTCAGCTCGGAATCGTAGATGCTCAGGCGAGCGCAGGCCCATAGCATGGTGGTTAGGGTGGAGGCATCGAGCTCGTTCACCTCCAGCTGGTAGCTGGTTAACACTGGTTGACTGGCAGCTGGTTGACAAAAGCCCGGTGAATATGGGTTATACCGGTATAATGAGCCCCCTATAGTGGACTTATGACTTATCCCCAAGTGTGAGTGGGAAATCAAATGAAACAGGGAAATGAAATGTTACAAGTATATATTATATAACCCCATAAAGGGTCATGGCGATTGTAATTGGGCAAAAAAACTCCACCCACTAGCAAGTTAAGAACCAAGGCGGAAGTGGCCACATGTGGCCACACATCCTGAATCGGCTTCAAAACCGTCCACTTGACCATTTCTACACTCTAGACTCTAGACCTGACGTGTTCCAGTGCAGCAATGATCACCAGTCCATCGAAACCGTCCGGCCTGGCTCAACATCTGCTTCTTGGCAGTGGAGAAGAGCCGAATGAAATTGGGATCCGATTGGATCTGCCGAGCGGTCAAGTCATCGTCTCTGGCACTGAGGCCACACTTGTGCAGCGCCGTGGCGCAGTTGTAAATGTCAAACTTCGGGAGATATTCTTCCTGAAAGATGGGGGGTAAACTCAGAGATCCCTCAAACAGTCCAAGAAATGGGTCAGTTTCAGTCAGTTTCATTTGGCAAAGTGACCAATCAGCCCCAGCTGAGTGGGTCATTTGGCGGCTTCATTTCCTGATTTTTTAGGGGAAAAAACAATGCTTGCGACTTGAAATTTGGTCCACAGCTGAATCGAATCTACATCAAGAGTCAATCAGTTGCCCCACCATCTCTTGAAGTATGCAAAGTTAGCAACTTTGCAAACGAAAAAACATATTCTCCAGTCCCAGCCGTAATAGCTGGAGGCCCCTTAGCTTGAACTTCAAATCTAAATTTGATTCCTACAATAATGTCTGAAATGTACGCCTGAACTACCCAAAAATCTCATGTCTGCGATCCGAGCTGCCACCAGTTTGAGCACTGCCGGGATCTGCGTTTCAGATCCCAGGCGGTGTTGAACGATGAGTGATGAGCTATTTCTGGATGGCAGCTCTTCAATCATGAAGGACAGCTCGGGTGCTGAATCCAAAGCCTTGGGATCCAGGTCTAAGGCTGGCAGATCCATCTCCATCTCCTCAGCTCTCCGCGCCACTTTCCGCGATTTCCAGCTTCTGGACACCATGGCTGACATCAGCCCGAGGCCCAGAGCTCCCCGGGCCCCGCGGGCCCCCGTCCCATGGCGTTCCAGGGAACGACCTCTTGGCGTTGCAACTTTCGGCCCGAGAGAGCTGCACGCCGAGCTGGAGGCTGGGACTGGCACAAATAGCGCCATGGCAACCCGCTCAGTGCACCATGGTTTTCCCCCCTGGCTGGATGTTCGCTGTTCGTTTCTGAAATTCGCAAGGAGTGAGGCTGAAATGTTTCAGCTGATTATGTTGATCTGATGGGTTTGGCTTGGGGCAATAAAGTTGCAGAAAATTGCATCGGTCTTAATTGTGGCATTGAAAAAACAGCTGCTTCAGGCACTGTGTGGTTCCTGGGTCTGGTGATTCAAGCTTCACAGCTGAATATGAGCCAGTGACGCATCAAGATTCCTGTGTGCAATTGTATCTACATCATTAGATTATGTATACTGCATATACATGTACAGACAGAGAGAGTCAGATTCCTGAAACATCAAACATCACAAGACCATGGCTCAAAAACCAGCAAGTTGAAACCGTGGATCCCCAACTCACCCCATTCAGGGGCCCCAAGATGGCCACACGGCGGTGCCAGCGTACCCCAAACCCACAGCTCGATGGTGTCCTTCTTGGACCTGAGCGAAAACTGGGTAGCCCCCAGAAACATGTCGGCAGCCCCGAGGGCCCGAGGCTCGGGCAAACAGTAGGCCGCCACCAGGGTATGTTGCTCAATGGCTGCCAACCTGAAAGTCCATTGGTGGACACGGCTTACAATGGTCAGATGATGTCAGATGATGTATAGTACTGGTTTTTAGTATGAATTATGTGTAAGTAACCAGCCATAACCCATCTCCATCGTGAAACATGACCTGGGCCACCAAACGAACGTACACAGCGCTCCTCCCCAGGCTGGTTGAAGGGCTCAAAGAGAATGGGCCGGAGCCTGTGCACCGTGGGGTCAAGTCATTGGGATGGCAATACCATGCAACATGCATGGGATCCCATGGAGCACCAAACTTTCGGCACGTCTGGATCAAGTGCCAAACATCGAGAAATCGGGGTTCGAACACCCGAACTCGAGAACGTCACTGCTTTCTGCCAAATGTTCATTGGGGTTCGGACATTCTACAGTAACTGCAGTTCAAGCCCCACATTTTGCATTTCTGGGCGTAGCTAACTCAAATGCGCAGGCAAGGTGATTGATACCCTGAGCTGCCAACACGTGGTTCTGGGCATCTCTGCACAAGGCGCTATCCCTGCCACAGACCTAAGATTTTGGAGACAGAAAGTGTCAAAACTTATAAGGAACAAATTAATGAGAAGAAGCATTGGGATGAGAAGAAACTGTACCCTCTGGCTATTTAAGGTATGGAAAATCACCATTGTAATAGATTGAATCATCATAGATCATCTATAAGTGTGCCATTGTATATAAATCACCAGGAGGTTAATTCTGATCCCCAAAGGGATCCCTTTTTAACGCAGGTTCCGCTGAGGCTCCCTACCCACAAACGATCGGTGGAATCAACAATGCAGGTGTGGTACCTGCAGGCTGGGTGTCAAGGCCTCTGTGTTTTCTGCATGCCTACGCATTTCTACTGAAATCAAGAAATGGCTTTGTTAGGATATGGATATCCGGGGAAAAAAATCTCATTCCGGGTGTGATCACCCCCCGTTTCTGGCAACCAAGATGCCAACCAAACAACTACCCAGGGACCCCGGAACCATCCCAAGGTCCAAACGTAGCACAGTGCACTTCCTTCACAGTGTTTGGCATTTCAACCTCGGTCCGAACAGCACTGGATAGCACTGCAGAGCCAAGTCGAGGTACCGGTTGCTACCATGTTCTTTTCCGGCTGGGGTCAACCCTCCATTTTGATCAACTGGGACCGTGATTCCTGGTAGAGTTGGAAGACATGAAACCTCCAAAGGATGAGGAGCAAGGTAACGTCTGTCTTTCACTTTGTTAAATGTTTGCTGGCTGATGTCACGTCTTTTTCTGAGACCTGAGATCGCCATAAAATGGTGGGGCAGGTTTCATCCATTCGACCGGTGGTTGCCCATCGTCTTCTCATGCCTCCTGGGACCCAGACCAGCTTCGGCACATACTCGTTGTCTCGCTCCTCATGGGCTTCGGACGACCCCACCATCAAATCCGTTGGTCATAATTTTCGCATCACAACTCTCCAGAGTCTTCATTTTTTCCTGGACCTAGAGCCGTGTTATCATCCTGCGACATCCAGAGAATTCCGACCCGTCAGGACATAGCCGGCGCCCCAACCTGATATTGAGCCTCCCCACCCCATTGCCAAGACGGCCAAACCAGCCAGTGCCAAAGGTCAGCAACCGTCCATCCTGACGACGGATCTGGAAGGCGTTGGGGAAGGTCATGCCAAATTTTCTGCAGAAAAACGCACACAAAAATAAATAGATCACTTAATCAATTACTACATCAATAAATCTGTTAATGAATTAATCATTTGATGTATGTACGTAAATATGTGTATATATATATTTATTTATTTATTTATGTATTTATTTATATATATTTATTGTATGTGTGTGTGTGTGTTTGTGTATGTGTCTCACCCACTCATCCATCCATCCATCCATCCGTCCGTCCATCCATCCATCCATCCGTCCTTCCGTCCGTCCGTCAGTCCGGCCGTCCGTCCATCCATCCATCCATCCATCCGTCTACAGTACCTGTCTATCTGCCTATCTGCCTATCTGTCTGTCTATCTATCTGATTATCCCATCTTATCTATATTGTCATTCTTATCTATCTTATCAGTATTATCTATCTTGTCTATATTATCTATCTTATCAGTCTTATCTATAATGTCTATCTTATCTATATTATCCAACTTATCTATTTATCTATCTTATATATCTTATTATCCACCTGATCTATTTATCTATCTATCTATCTATCTATCTACCTACCTACCTATCTAGCTGCCTACCTATCTACCTATCTATCTATCGATCGATCGATTAATCTATGTAATCTAATCCAATCCAACCTAATCTAATCTAATCTATCTCATCTATCTAAGCTGTCTAATCTATCTAAGCTATCTAAGCTATCTAGTCGATCTAATCAATCTAATCGATCTAATCAATCTAATCAATCTATATAATCGATCTAACCTGTCTAATCTATCCTAGCTATCTAATCTATCCATCTATCCATCTATCCATCTTTCTATCTCTCTATCTCTCTATCTCTCTATCTGTCTATCTGTCTATCTGTCTATCTGTCTATCTGTGTCTATCTATTCCTTTTTATCTGTCATCAGTTAAAAAATGTAAGAGCATGTTTGCCCATGTGCAGCTGCACATGTTCATCCCGTATGTTTTCATCTTTAGACATCTGATACTGCGCATCGTCCCTTGGCCTGGGTAATCAAGGCGGAATGTTGCGACCTCAAATTCGCGCCGTGGAATGTTGTGATTCAGGGACACCTCCAATGACCAACAGTAACACTCAACGGGGGGCCAAAATTCCCCGCAAGGAACATGCGAAACATTGGAACCCAGCGATTTGCAACACCATCGCCGGCACCGCAGTGCCTGATCCCATGGTCCTATATCCTAATGTTCGATATGTGCCCCCAATAAGAGACGCAAAGATGAATAGATCCACTATGATCCAGTACTAAACACACACCACCCCCTTGGTCTCGCAGCCCACAGGATACGCTCCGAAGCACGCGCAACTGCAGCCGGGGCAAGCTCGGATTCCCAAACAGAACCCCCGTGGAGACGGAAGAATTCACGGCAATTCGCCGGTTTGCCCTCCGAGAATCAAACATGGCAATTGAAAATCAACCATTTATAGAATTTATAGAGGATTCCCCCATGAAACCTGAAATTTGGGGGATTTCTATGGATTTCTCATTGCCAGGTTTGATTCCCGGAGGTTCCCGGACAGTCCTTTTGAACCTGGGAAAAATGATGAAGAATGATCGATCCGTTGCCATCTTCGTTTCCCGGGGCTTCATTCACCTTATCATCTCCAAACCCATCGAACATGCCGTTGCAGCAATCGATGTTCAGCCATTGGTGTTGAGGGTGTAAGTCACTTAATGACCTACTGATTCTCGGTTGTGACACCCCGATGTTCTCCAGTTTTGTTGTTTGTTTCTCTGATGGAAATATGTTGCACGTGTGCATGTGCAAATACATTTATGCATATGTATACATGTATAAATTGTATAAGTATATTATATATATATATTATAGTATATTAAGATATATCAAGTATATATAGTCGTCCTCAAATTTTATCCTCACAAGAAATTGCATAGGCATATTATTGTTTTTTTGATATTCTATATACCCACTGCAGGATTACTACATACATATAAATACAGTACATGCAAACAAGATTGCGGATCCAAATGCACATCTTTTCTCCACGAATCATCGGAGGATGTGGTCGCGTTGGTCGCGTGGTCGGCGGCCTTTTTAAGCTGCATTAAGAATGGCCACCCTTGCAGTATGGCAGTGGTTGGAGTCATGTGAAGTGATGATTGGTTCGATATGTTCGATTGAAAATCCTACGAGTAACAGGAAACCATAGATTTTACGACCAAATAAAAGTTTATCCTGACGATTTCCCTTCAACCCATTCTAGGAATTTCCATGACCATGTGGGTAAGCCATGTGATACGCTCCATGAAACCAAAGAGGGAACCCAAAAGGGACCCCATCATATACGCCTGCTCTTCACGTTTCCTGGGCTCTTATGGTCCTAAAGTCAGTTAACTCGCATTGACCAACCGTGGTGCCGTTTTTGCAAGGGCAACTAATGACAAAGCCCTGGGTCCATCTGCAAGAAAATTGGGAATCCCCTGGTGCCAGAGACACCAACGCCAAACGCGTCGCATCCCCTGCAGATGGAGCTCGGGCTGTCAACGAGCCACTGCCTGGATCTTTGAGAATAGGGTCCTTTGAGCTTTCCCCTTGGAGACGAAGTGTGGGCCCCGATGCGCATTATGTGCCGCTCCTATGTGCCCCTATCTGCCCCATGACTATAAGAGGCAGTCTTGATTACGGCTCAGGAGTGATCAGTGTTCCCTACTCCTCTTTGAGGAGGGGGTAACCGCGTCGGCTGTTTTCGGTGTTCGGTTCATTCCTCCGCTTTCTCCTAGCGCCACGGGTGAGGTGTCGAGATGCAGCTAAGGGGAAGCTGTTCTTGCCATCGCTGTCAGGTTGTGTTTTCTTCTTTGGCTGGTAAAGCAGAAAAATTAACAAAAATTATCCATGGTGTGCTGTTACCATCTCCTGTTTGCCATGTGTGCCTATTCTCTCTCTCTCTCTCTGTGTTTCCCTTGTAACGAAATCTTGGTGCTTCAGTGGCATGATCATCCCTCAGGAAATCACCAGGCGCGCATGGGACAGGAAGAGGGGACGGGGTTCGGTTCGGTCCTCGCCAGCCTTTTTGGTGGACCTGGACTTTTTGGATGCCTCCGACTTGTCGTTCTTCTCAGATCTCTCCTGGCCAGGAAACTCCTCCAACTCTGGTACTCACAGGGAGCCCCTCAAAAACAACACTATAAATGCAGAAGAGTCCAACAAAAAAAACAGATGAATCAGTCGCAAAGAATCAGGCCACATCATATCAACACTACCAGTCAAGAGAATGACGGGAACCGGGAACCGGAAAGGCGCGCCTTCCCCCTGCGACTTTCCGGCGCCTCCTGCACCATGGCGTGCAAACGTCTAATTCTGGTTGGTGGTTGAAATCCCCTTGAAAATATACCCTCTGGTAAACTAACATAGCTATTGAAAATGGCCATTTATAGTGGATTTTCCCATTCAAAATGGTGATTTTCCATAGCTATGTTAAATTACCAGAGGGTAGGTATAGGATGGAAACTACAGTTTGGGACTACCAGTGATATAACGAGGATGACTCGAGACTGGAGCGCCCAGCTTTGTGCTATAAATTTCTACGGTCTTCTGTTTTGACCCCTATCCATGTGCCTCCAGTCTGTGCCGGCTGATCTCAGATAAGCGTCCAAAAGCTTTAAGAGTTTTCAGTTTGGCATTATATTCCCCCATCTGTGGGAGTGCCCTTTCTGATACCATCCACGGAGCTCCTTAATGCTGGCAGCAAGGTCGGACATGCAAGTGATCAGCTGGGCCATCTGCTTCTCTATCCTCTGCAGACTTGCCGCACATTTGGAGTCCTGGCGGAGGTTCACAATTTGTGACCCCGCAGCCAAAAAACAAACCTTCCAACACCTTTCATATCAAAAAAACAAACCTCCCTACCCAATCCCCAGTCCAACTCCCATACTTCCATACCTTCTCCCCTCCCCATCCCCTCCTCCGTCAAGGCCTCCTTGTTATTTGGCTCCGGCGCCTTCGGTAACGTCTTCTCCTTCACGTCCTTAACGGGCTCGTCCAGGTCCTTCGGGTCCTTCGATGGCACCACCTCGTCCAACTTCTCCTCCATGGGGATGCCGATCATGTCGGCCTTAGGCTCATCACCTGATGGCGATGAAGGGGATGGGGGTTCCGGGCATGCTCATGTAATTTCATCTGTGAGTGTGGACTTGGTATGATATGTCATATAATATATATATATACATATATGTATATATATACACACCATTGGTGTTTAAGCCAAGTCACCATCAAGCCATCGGATCAACTTCGCTGCTCCCTTCCAGTCCTGCAATGCTCGAGATCATATCCTGTTTTGCCACCTGAAATCCATTTGAACTTCATTTTCCATCGTCTTACATCATACATATATATATATATGTATATATATACATCTATATATATATATATCCCTCAGCATCCATCCCCTTGGCCATCTCCTCTGGCTTCACCCAATTTCGCGGGCCATAGGCCGAGATCTCATCCTCTTCGTTCAGCAGCAGCCATCCTGCCATCGATGATCTGGCGGAGGACTGCTTCGTCGGCATGCGCGAGGCGGAACGCGCCAGGAGCCTCGGCAACCACAGATGAACCAAGGATGTGCCAAGGAGATGGCAGATGAAAGATTCTTGGATGGATTTTGATAGGATTTTTGGATGATCATCTGAGATTTATAAGACTTTGAGAACGGTTTAATGAATTTGATCCGGATTTTGATCCAGTTTGAGAAGGAAAACACCCAAAACACCAACAATGGCGGCAGAACGGGAAAACATCTTCGATCTGGCTGCAGTACCAAAAACCGAAACAGGATGAGGACTTTAACCAACGAAAATATGGACGAAATTCTTCACTGACCACTGGCCCAAACACCCCTGAAATTCCACAATGGAACCCCACAAAGGCGCACTCTATAGCAACCGCAAAAATATAGACAAGTGATGTATCACTATTTTAGTAGCATTCTACGTTTCCATCTTGTTTGGAGGTCATTATGTTCAGATAATCATATACTATATATATACTATATAATATATATATATATACATGTCTTTCAAAGAATGTTTGGATCTCCCAACCTGGCTTATCTCAAGTGCTGAGACCCGCTGGAACCGCGGATTGGAAGCGCCGGGAAGCCCTGTTAAGGTCTCATGTTCCTTGGTCTCGCCCGAGCAGGGCCGCTTCACCATGTCGCTTGAGAACTCGATGTTGGGGCTGAGCCTCGGATGTTGGGTCCCATCTTTTTTCAATAGGTCAAAATTAGATCCACTTGTAGAATCAGATGCTATAATAAAGAAATATATAAAAACTTGTGGATTGGTAGAGTTAGGACTTTCTGAAAACTGGAACTGGGATAACTGGGAACATGGATTTACACTGATTTTCTACAGCGACCTGTGATTGTGAGATGGCATTTCCGACACTCAAACTGTTCCGAAGTATCTTTGACTTGACTGGGCGCATCTGCTGTCCCAAGGGTTCCTAAGTCACAAGAAGGGCTGAGCCAATGACCAACAGAATTGATCAGAATTGATCAACCCACCGCCAGTTGACCACCAGTTGGGGCCAGGCACTTCAGGGCATCCAACACGCTAAAGCGTTCATACATGGCGATGACGTTGTCATAGATATGCCGCATGAAGTCCTTGCCCGTTAAACACAACGGGGAAGCTGTGACTGGTGGCCACCCCCCAAGTCTTCGGATTGCCAAAATGTCGAAAAATACGAGGAAAGCCTCTATCCTTCATCGGCCAACAGGTGGAAAAAAGGATGGAAAAAAAGGATCTCTTGATAACATGTGATGTGGTTGTTTTTGGAGAAAAAATGCAGAAAAGACTGGCAGGCGAAAGCTGCAACTACAGCCGAATACAGAGACCTTCAGAGCCCTGAAAAGACTTAATCACATGTGCATGTTTAAATGTTTTTCAACCAAGAGCCACATGCCAGATTCTTACGTTGGGTTGAGATGAGATGCCTATGGATCAAACCCGGAACACTCCAAAAAAGATGATAAGTGTCTATTGATGTTCACGTGCCCATATCGGACATCTTTGGCTGTCACCAATCCCAAACCCAATCATCCAAGGTTCCGCAATGGGGAAGTCCAAGTCGTCCTGGTCGGTCCACCCATCCCCAAAAACGAAGGGCTGCTCTGCCAGGCTCATAGGGATGTAAATCTCTCGTGTGGTAGGCATACAACACCGTAAATCACAGTAATTCTACATCATGCGACATTCAACATCTGGGTATTGGTTCAAAGCCTTCGAATTCCCAGAAAATCCCCGGTCAATTGCTAGCTTAAAAGCGGTTTTTCAGCGCTTCAACCCCTATAAATCCCTAGCTTCACCCCCTATAAAATCTATAAATCCCCATGATTCATCATATTTCCATATGGTTTCTGCAGATCTTCCATGATTTTCCATGATTTTCACCACATTTTCCCACCATTCTCCCGTTGGATCCGTTGGATCCGCCACCCCACGGAGCCGCCAACGCCTCACCAAAGGGATCCGCCAGCTCTCCCGAGAGCTGCCGCAAGGCCAAGAGGACGAAGGTCACCACCGAATACCTGGACCACTGGATCCATCCAATGATGATCAAATTGATCTACGAAAATTTGAAGATATATTGATCATATATATTGGGAAAATCAGCATTTTTAATAGGGAAAATCAGCATTTTTAATGGGACAATCCACTATTTCTATGATTGGTTATAATATTTTTGATCATCTGCCCCAAAAAAAAAACTATCTATCTATCTATCGATCTATCTATCTATCGATCTATCTATCGATCTATCTATCTATCTATCTATCTCTCTCTCTCTCTATCTCTATCTCTATCTCTCTCTCTCTATATATATATATATTAGAAAATCAATGATTTCTGGAAGCAAAAAAAAAGGAACATCTAATATTGGCGGAAAAAAAAACATCTGAAGAAAGAAAAAGAAGAACCAAATTCATCCAACAATCCTCCAAAAATGTTTGAAGAAAGTTCAAAGACCATAAAACTAATCTCAACAATCATCAAAAGCATCTGTGGGAATGGCGGCCAGGCCATCTTTTACAATCACTTGCTTGTCTCATCTGGAAAGGCCTTCCTGGATCGGGTGTTTGATCACTGCAATATCCTAAAGAGGATCTGAAGAGGGGCGCATACTCAACCCATCTCAATCCGGAATATCAGTGGGACTGGGGATAAATACGGCTGTACTCAGATTTTGTAGATCAATGCCATGACAGTAATGCGATGTTGCAGGATAGTAGGGAGCAAAATGCCACCGCAAGTATCTTCACATCGTGAAGATGAGTAATCCATGGATCAAAAAACCTTTGATTCCTGCGTTCTGTGAGAAACCGTCTGTGCCTGAAGACACCCACATACAATTCAAAGGCCGAAACCATCCGCAAGATGTACCTTTCTTAAAAAGAAACACCAACTCTTGACCCTTTGTCGTTGATACTTGGGGAATGACCCTCAAATCACCATCTCATGAATTGAGTCATCCTTCCTCCCCACCAAAAACAGTTTGACAGAACCAAGGTGCGGAAAGAAAGCTAAGCAGTATGACGGCGAATCATGCTGTTCCACCAGAATGAGGCTGCCAATTCCTGCCCATGTTTCACCCACACGATGGAGCTCTCTTACATTCCACCCCCAGATCAGCTCCTGTGGCCAAGACCGTCAGGGAAATCAAAATGTTCAACAAAGGGCACCGGCATGTTCTGAATGCTCCTGGCCGGGGCCGGTTGAAGCCACCTGAATCACCTTTGGCTGAAAGAATGAGATGAGTCAAAACTGGGATACCCCCAAAATGGGAGGGTTTGATGCTCAAAAGAGACCGGAAATGCTGGGTCCCGGGATTCCCGACCTTTTCAGCGCTATTTAATACTGTGAATTCCGATGTGTGGTGGCTCGTATCGGCATAAGAAGTATCAAAAATGCATGGATAATATGACGAAATACCAGTTCTTTTAATGCACGCACAGAAAATATCCAAAATGCACTGTGTGTGTGTGTGTCTGTGTGTGTGTGTGGATGTTGTGATCCTCATTCTACATTCCTCATCAACCAACAAAACCTATGCGGTGTGTGTGTGTGTGAGTTATGCATATATATATATATGTAGCATTGTATTACTATGAATATTATTAAGTATATTAATTAATATCATACATTATTATATTAGATATAAATCTCCATACCCCTCTCTCTCAGCCATCTCCACAAAAAGGGCTACGTCATCCCCTGGCCCTGGCGCCTCACGGTGAGGCACGAGACGCCAATGCGGTCCACCAAGACGAAGAGCCGTGAACTCATCGCTGCCAGCTCCGGTGGGGTGTACTGCCCCTGCTTCCCCTGAGATGACTGGGGATCCAAAAAATGAACAAATCATCTTTATACCAGGGGGGGTGGAAATACATATTAATATATATATATATATGTGTGTGTGTAGATGTGTGTGATTGTGTTATGCGTATGTATGTGTGTATATATATATATGTATATATATACTTACACACACAGAGATAATAGGAACAAGAAAAGGTATAAGACTAAGATCTGCTGCAGCTGGTTTTGAAACAGCTGAACCTACAAAAATATCTTTTTTACAACAGGAATGCCATGAGAAACGAAAAGGTCAAGTGCGATCGGCTGCGCACACCGTCGCGAGGCCATCGGATCGAACTGCCAAGGCGCGCGAAGCTTCTTGATGTTATCTTTAATTGCGATGCTCGCCCAGTGTAGCAGCAGCATGAACCTTAGAGGGGCTGGGATCTGAAAAGACCATAAAAGACCCACAAACTGCAAGCCCCACTAGATATAAAATTAGCCAACCAAAACTATGCACAAGATACCGTAAGATTGTAAGATACCCAAGTCAGATCCCAAGCACAAATGTTCATCACGTTTAAACCCGAAGCCCATGTTTTTTTTGCATAACATCTTGACTGGTGGCTAGTTTGTTCTGTCCTCATAATCCACTAAACTCAATGGTGGTCTGGGTTGAACCCAGATCATCCCAAAATAGCTGAAAGGAAAAGTTACGATTGAAACCCCTATACAGCATATACAAATGGAGGTTTCCTAAAATGGGGTTACCCTCAAATCATCCAAGTCATTAGGCCATTTTTGTATTGAAACCCATGGCGACTTCGGGATCCCCCATTTTAAGAAACCCCCATATGTACATACATGTATTGTTGGAGGTAAAAACCATGGGATCAACCTACTCGTCTCGACCTAGCCAATTTGCTCGCCATTTCAACGACGCTTTCAAAAGCCACAGGACTGTAGCTCTGGCCCAGTAAAATGCAACGTGGCTACACATATGCAAAGTGTGCTAAGAATGCTGAGCTGTCCCCACCAGAAGCTGGATTGCCCCATGTCACGACTGACCCATCTGCCAGGATCGCAGCAAATGCCCTGTCAGTTGCTTGAACCTGCTGGACACCTTTGAGCCGATCTTGGACTTCAGAGCTGTCACCACCACAATGCGGATTGCCCCAAGTCACAACCGATCCATCTGACAGGATAGCAGCAAATGCCCTGCCAGTTGCTTGAACCTGCTGGACTCCCTTGAGCTGATCTTGTACTTCCCAGCTGTTAGCACCAAGACGTTCATCGCCCCAAGTCACAACTGAGCCATCTGCCAGGATCGCAGCAAACCCGCCACCTTCAAGATCTGTTAGAACTCGAGTTCCTTGAACCTGCTGGATGCCCTTGAGCTGATCCTCGACTTCAGAGCTGTCACCACCATAATCTCCATCACCCCAAGTCACAACCGAGCCATCTGCCAGGATTGCAGCAAATGCGCCATAGGAAGCTTGAACCTGCTGGACACCTTTGAGCTGATCTTGGACAAAAGAGCTGTCACCACCACAATCTGGATCGCCCCAAGTCACGACCGAGCCATCTGCCAGGATCGCAGCAAATGCGCCAAAAGTTCCTTGAACTTGCTGGACGATCTTGAGCTGATCCTGGACTTCAGAGCTGTCACCACCACAATCTGGATCGCCCCAAGTCACAACCGATCCATCTGACAGGATAGCAGCAAATGCCCTGCCAGTTGCTTGAACCTGCTGGACACCTTTGAGCCGATCTTGCACCTGAGAGCTGTTGCCACCATAATCTGGATCGCCCCAAGTCACAACCGATCCATCTGACAGGATAGCAGCAAATGCCCTGTCAGTTGCTTGAATCTGCTGGACACCTTTGAGCTGATGTTGGACCTGAGAGCTAACACCGCCAAAATGCGGACTGCCCCAAGTCACGACCGACCCATCGGTAAGGATAGCAGCAAATGCGCTACAGGATGCTTGAACCTGCTGGACACCCTTGAGCTGACCTTGGACCCGAGAGCTGTCACCTCCAAAATCTGGATGGCCCCATGTCACAACCCGGTCACCTCCACAGCAAAATAACACAAAAGCTCGGTCTGTTGCGGCTAGCCTTGCCTCTACGGCAATAGCTGTCAGATGGTCTCCATCTTCAAGTCCTGCAGCTTGTAGAGACACTGCAGGATCCACCACGCTATGGTCTGCAGCCACAAGTTTCAAGAAGCCACGTTGAAATGATTTCTGCGCCAGAACCCTCAAGTCCCCTACTTTGGAGGACGGTTCAAGCGAAAATGTCTCACTTTGCCCGCTTGGCAAAGCTACAGTAACTTGAAGCATGCGTCAAGAAACTCAAATGCACCAGTTTCTCGACTTGATTTTGAGCCTAACTTCGGCACGGTCCAAGGTAAATATCATCAAACTACCATCCTGGAAACACGTTTCTATCTTCTTGGGGGACCCTTGGGACCCTATAAATTTGGAAATTGATTGGAAGATTGGCTGATTTATCACCCACTTAGCCATCGAAAGCGTAATGCAACCAGCCAAAAGTCGGATTTAAGCTTTCATTGTCTCCTGGATTTTTCAGTTCCCATCACCTCGCAGGGCTCTTGAACCTCTTTTGGATGATATATACAACATCTATCTATACAATGTCTATCTACCTCTATGAATACAAATATACATATACATATATATATACATATACAATATGGTTTTCATTTTAAAAAAACAACTCGAACCCCGCAAATCTTCATTGCTGTTCAATTACCATTTAAATCATTTAAACAATCTCCTCCTCCACCAATTGGCTGCCACCAGGTGACACGGTGCCGGGGAAGTCGCTGACGCGCCGGATCTCCGCCTCGGTCAGAAGACCTTTGTCCCTGATGATCTGCCAGCTGGTCCGCCTGGGGGCTGATGGAAATCGAATGATCATAGCCTCTGGTTATGACTCACAGTTCGCCATGGAAAATCACCATGCTATTAATAGGTAAACCATCTATTTCTATGGGCCATTTTGGTATAGATGGCCCTAATCGAAATAGATGGTTTACCGAACTTAATAGCATGGTGATTTTCCATGGCGAACTGTTAAATAACCATAGGGTAAATGGAATCGAAGCTCGATAGTGACATATAGTGACCATCTATTTGGGCCTAGATTTTTATTGGCTAAGAGAATGAGAATGTAGAAACCATCGGGGTTAGAAAACAGTTCATTTTGATCGGGTTGGTAATTTAGATGCGTTGCTCAGAAAAAACATTGCTTAACGGGTCAAAAAAATGGAGGGGTTAGAAACTTGGGATCCTTGTTTTTCCTATTGTTGGATGTTGATAATCTGTTGGTGCAATTGGAGGCGTTGTTTTTTTTCTCAACGCTGGACCCCCTTGGCTGGAGACCGAAGATGACCCTTGGAATGAAATATCTCGACCAACGATCAAGAATTGGATGCGAAGCCTAGCCCAAAATAGAAGAGTTGGTGCAAACATGATGGTTTTCAATGGGTTTTCTTGCAAAAAAAAAAGTGTGAGCCCGCCAGCCCAGCGTTGTTTCCCACCCGTCCCGCCAAGCAGGCAAGCCAGTTTGCGCCAAGCAACATTCCCGGAGATTGATCCTCCATACTAAGGTAGAAGTAGAAGATTGCAGCAAGACTGTACCTCAGAGACCCCAACACAACAAACATCAACAAACCATGTAATGTTAGTAAAGCTTTGGTAAACCATCCCCAATTTTACCAAAAATGGCTGGTATGAATATGAACCATCAACATGGTTGTGGTTTATTATTGCTTTACCAACATTAGTTATTCAAAATGCAGGCCGGGGTCAGAAAAGAATCAGGTCGGATATGAATTCCCAAGGTAGCCCAGCCAAGGCACTTGCAGGCCTGCCGGACGTTGCCACGAAGATCTGGATCATGTCCAAAATCAACTAAGAGTTCAGACCTCAGTTCCGGTTCATGCCAGCTACGATCGGCTCCCCTGAAAACTCATCCAGGACACCCCCCGAAGGGATTGATTTCCCCGCATCTGCCGATCAAGTCACACCAAGTTCTTCTCATTGACATCAATGTCCTCAGAAACTTCGGCAAGAGGGGAAACTGTTTCGGCATGTTTCGGCTAATCAGCTACTGAACCCAGGAGTCATGGATGATTTCCCAGAGCCAATTTTGTTGCGATCTTAGGTCGCCGCCACGCAGGTGCTATAGAGGCCTTGGGAGACAAGGTAGCAGAAATTTTGGGCTTTCCAGGACAAACTGAGCCTGAGTTGACATTTCGAGCCTTTGGATAGAATTGGATGGTTCATAGGTGGGACTCTAAGGTAACTGGTGCAGAAGTTCTGCCAGACCAAAAGCAGCACAGCCCAAGCATTAAGGCTTTGCGGTCAAGCGACTCATATAGCGGCCATAGCATTGGTTGTTGTAAAACACGACTGCCTGGAGAGACACACTGAGGCAGAATCTTCTTGGCTGATCTTAGACGCCAAGAAAAAGAAAACTGCTGGTCATTGGATTGCCCAGGCTATGGCTGAAAATGAAACTACTGGCTTATCCAACACGTTTCTCAAGTTTATAAGTGGAGACCTCCCAGTTCTATCATTGAAAGTATGTCATTTGTTAATGATCCTATTGAAACGTGGTGGAACTACAGCAATTGGATTTCATTGCGTTTTGGTGTGGCAAACTTGTCTGGTGAAATAAGATTGGACAGCAGCGCGAAATAAACTGACATGCTCTTAAAAATAAATGTCCTTTAACTTTCAAGACAGTTCTGCATGTTATACAATCTATATATATATACACACAGTCCATCCTCGATGTCCCCATACAAAGTGTCCACTACATTTCCTGTGAGTAGCCTTCACCGAAAGAATCTACCAAAAGATATCTTTAAATGGTTCTTGCGTGGAAAATATATCATCGCCCCACACGGATCCACACGGGTTTCTCTGAAAACAGCCCATTCCATCCACTGGTTAATCATGATCCTCCCTCCAAACCATGCCATTTGGATCTCACACAGGGTTTTTTCCATGTTTTTCCCATCAGCCGCTATATTCTTCAACCTCCACGGCTGTCACGGTCCATGTCACCAAGCCACAAAGATCGTCACAGACAGCTGCGGGCTCAGCAATTTCCAAACGTCCAGGTTGACCACCCCTCGGTGTTTCCCGGGCTGTCGACAAAGTTGTCGTCCCATTTCGCTGTTTCGGCCCACAGGGAAAAAGGAGTCCAAGTTGGGATATGTCTGGGATATGTGCAGTATTGTGCAGTAGTTTGGGATGAAAAAGATGAAAATAGAGAAAGCATTGGAACCACCAACCAGATCAACTGTCAACCAGTGAAACTAGTGCACAGTTGGTCTCCCTGGTTCAACAGCTCGATCCAGAAACACTGCAACTCCCAGGCCGGCCCCCCTCGCCTGTGGGAAAGTCAACGAAATTCAGATCCATGAGAATCATCACGACCAGGGCGATGGTCATGTACAGCCAGAATTCACCCATTTGAAAAACCGATGACCTTAAGGCTTCAGGGCGCTGACGTGGCATCATCGGCCGCAATGTCGGGTTAGGAGAATGGGGTGAGAACAGACAGTGCCCACTTAGCGGCCTTAGTACTTTCCCACCGGATTTCTCAAAGTTGAAATATCAAAAGCTTCATAATCCCAAGCAGTTGCCCTGAGCTGGCTCATCCATGACTGGGTAGCTATGATGCACATCCTTCCCAGCCCCTTATCGCAGTGAAGTCGCGTGAGAGTGAATTTCCATCGGAATAAGGAGATGATCGCAGATTCATGGGGATTGTAGTAGCGAACCATGCTACCAAGTCAGCCACGCACCACTGCTGGCACCTGCTGCTTTTCGGCTTGAGTAATTTTTGTTTTTGGCTTCCTTCGAGGGACAATCTGCAATTCCATGCTTGCCAATTCTGACCCAAAATCCGTCGCTTCCAACTTCCCCAAATACTAGGAAACAACTGACATGTTGGCGTTTAGTCTGCAGCAATCTGAAGTCGCAATGGAAAATCAGCCATGTTCAATGGATGAACTATCTAGTTCCATCTAGATCCATCTAGAATCTATAGAAAATGGATGACCAAAGGTGATCCTTAAGTGATTTTGATTCCCCTCCACCGTCTACCTGTTTTTCCAGGCCGTGCGGACCACTTCCTTCGGAAGGACGGCCGGCCGAAGGTGTTTTAATCACCTTCCATCTCTGTCGAGCTTCATGGCTGCGGACCACAAAACAAGGTTGGGAATTGCCATCTTCAGATCCCAGTGTCAAAATCAAAATTTAAGGCTACGGGTGCCAATATGATCCAATATGATCCAATATGTCAATATGATGCCATGTTCAACATGTTCAACATGTTCAACATGTTCAACTGATCCCAATAGACGCCCCGCTGGTTGGAGGACCTACCAAAATTTACCCAGACCTCGGCCACATCGATGATCACACGTTTGGGAGAGAGCTGTTCCTGCCACGATTTCTGGTTGGGTTGGGTTGGTCATGGCAACCAAGGGGCTTGGTCACTAGGATCACTAGGATCATGTCATACAAGGGATGAAAATGATGAGAATCGAGTGTGAAGAATTTGAATCTTCATAGTATCCAACTACCTTCCCGGAACTTGGCTGATACTTTTCGAGCTAAAAGTACTCCAGCATCCATTTGAGCGGATGGGGTTGGACCATATCGGGGTGCTGACCCATCTGGCAACTCACGGGTATGTAGCAGCAGACAATTAATAACCAATAGATTTCAACCTTGAGAAACTAGGGCACAGCTACTTGGTTGGGGGGACCCATGAACATGGTGGATTGTCCGTTTGGCCAAAAATACCATGGACTAGCATCATCCAACAATAAACACACATCACAGTTCAAATCTATTCACGATATCCACAAAACCTCCCCCGAACTCCCCTACTGAGCAGCCCTGCCCCATCCGTGAGACAACTGCCAAGCCCCAAGCGGCCGCCCGCTGCATTGCCCCAGGTGAAGCATTCGCCTCCTTTCCATGGATTTTCCGTGGAAATGTTGGAGGAAAACCATGGTGTTTTTACCCCTGGAGAGTAGGAAACCTGGGCACCCCCGGCAGCCCTCCAACCGCCCGCCTTCAATGAGGCAAGCAGAATGCTCCTAGCAGATCAAACGCATGCATTCCGGGCAGAGAAACTCTTCCACATCAAAAGCACCGGGAGTCATCCCGGTTTACCAGTCAAATCGATTCAATTAATGAATCATATCAATAGTGGTACGAATTTCAATCCATTGACTAGTCACAGTCATACCAACTAAAATGAATAGTGCCAGCAACAGCCCTTTTCTTGTTGGGACGGCTTCCAGCTCGTCAGCGATCCGCAGCGTCCTCACCCGCAGCAACGTCCAGCACATCCGTGGGGTAGGTGATGAACTGCGGGGTGTCCGCCGCCTCCAAGGCAGGGGAAATTCACCCTGAGAAAGTGCTTCCGGATGTTGATTGATTAGATTTCCCTCAAGTACTGATTCATGCAGCTCCTTTAGATACCTTTTGCCGCCGTGTGCTCCCCTCCTTTTCCTTTGGGGTCACCGCACAGGCTTGTGTAGAGTAGCATCGGTGAACGATGCTTTCATTTGTATTGTGAGTGACCCATGAAGATTTCCCTCAAATGTCCAAAAACTGTTGGGTGTCATATGGTGTCATTCAAAGTCTTCAATAACTTTCAATCTGAGTTTGTGCGTCCCATGCTGATGATCCAGTGCCAGTGAAGATTCGTAAGGACCCACCCAGGCGCCTGCATGGAACCTGTGCCCAGCTGACCCTTGCTGCCATTGCCCCAAGAGTACATCCTTAGCATCAATGGATGGGCCATGTTCAACCTATGGTGGAATATGATGGAAGAGTCAGAAGTTTCCCTTACAAACAATGGGCTGGTCAGAAGCTAAATGCACAACTGAAGTCCGAAATCTATCGAAATCTGCGGTACTATGGTGGACTTCAAATGGACTTACCATTTGGTTATTTAACACTTCGCCATGGAAAATCACCATGCTATTAAGTTCGGTAAACCATCTAATTCTATGGGCCATCTACACCATGGCTATGTTAGTCATAACCAGAGGGTATGATCACCTTTCGAGGAAAAACCACCGAGCCCCCAGGCAGTGAATCCGCGGTGACGATCAGGCAGTGGTCGTGTCCCATTGCCACCATCCGCACAGTTCGACAACGGACACCGGTTTTCAATGGCACAGGCAGCCAACCTTATGGTGCACGTGGCTGCGCGGTTGAAAAAAAGGGATTGAAGATGATTGAAGGGTGGCATATAATATCATATAATCATAACATATCACAACCATGTCTGGATGTGAGATGATATGAGCATAGAGAAAGAAAAAAAGACGGATGGACTGGGATGCATTGGGACTCACGGCGTCTCAGGGACTTGGGGACCTGGAAGGCAGATCAATCAGCTAAGCCCAAAGCAATCGCCATTGGTGTCAATGATGGTGCTCTCCACATCCTCTTCCATCTTCTCAATCTGACAGCGAACCGTCGCCATCGTGAGTACTTCGTGAAGCTGGGCAGCTTGGAAGGTTAGAATCCTGAAAAATCCTGAAAAATCCTGAAAAATCCTGAAAAATCCTGAAAAATGACTC